AGGAAGACAGCAAGTTTGGATTCGGATGTGCCCATGAAGAGCAACTTGGATGCCACAGTCTGACAGACCTAGTTTTGCATCCCAGTTCTACCACTAATTAGCTGGAACACTAGGGAATCTACTTAACTTAGTTGAGCCTGAGTTTCCTAGGTTGCAGTTTCCCCAGAAAATTAGCTTAGTAATATTTATTTTGCCAGGCTGTTATAAGGAATGAATGAGAAAGTACATCTAATGCAAGCTGATGTTTGATTAATTGTGGCTGTTGAAATCATTTTCATTATCCTGATCCAAGTGGCAACGTCTAGGAGGTGGTTGAATCTCTGGACCTGGAGGTTGAGAGAGATGTGGGAAGTTCCTCTAAGACCCCCCCCCCCCCCCCCCCCCCCCCCGCCCCGCCCCGCCCCAATCTGAGCTCAGAGCTGTCAGATCTCAGTCAGAGAAAAGGCCAACCTGAGAAGATCAATCTGAGGAAAGTTTATCCCCGACCAGTAGCTTTGGCCCTTTGGGAATCTTCCTGGGTCTCAGAGCATCTTTAATCAGATGCTTGTAATCAGGCTTTAATCAGAAGCCTTTTCTAAGGCCTGGAGATTGATTGCCAGAAACAAATGCTTTCACTGGAATGAGCTAATATAGGCAGATAATTTAAAAATAATTTTACTGCTAAAATACCCCATGTCCATTATCAAAATATTCAACTAATAGTGAAAAATATAAAGAGAATAAAAATAGTTTTTACTAAATGCCCTCTTCCCCCAAAATGAGGAAGGAAGAAAGATGGAAGATAATGCTAGATTGCTAGATATACTTATTTTAGATAAAAAGTTTGAAAATTTAATTGAACGTGAACTAAAGTGGAGTGAAACCATAGGACTTGCTGAATTTTGGTAATTTCTTCCTCCAGAAAATAGAGATTAGTTTTTAAAAGTTTAAAATACACGTTATGAAATGCATCAAGAGCTTGGAGTCATTGAGGTACTTCTCTCACATTACGTGTTTCAAAATGGGATTATTGATTTCCTGCAGGGAAAGAAGAAAATGACAGCACTACTTCCCACCTTCATATTTCTTCCTATCTTTCCATCTCCACGTGATAAATTATTATTTTTATACTGTCAAGGTGGTAACAATTACTTCCATTCTGTAACCATAATTTCCATAGTTGTTTAGTCCTAAACTTATATGTAAAAGGATTTAATGCTTACCATCAATCCCTTTACTATGGCTCGCCATTCCCAAGCTTATGATTTTGTTTTATGTCTTGTTTAGCTGGATTTTATTATCAATATTTTTCCTAGCAGGGCTCAGAGATGCTGTTTCCTGAATTCTAGCATGTTTGAAACTGTTGTCTTTATTCTTGAAGGACATCTTGGATGGTTTTAAATTCTGGGTCATTCTTTCCTTCAGAACTTTGTAGATGTTACACTGTGTTTAATGTTGTTGAGAAGTCTGAGGTCAGCTAATTTCTAGTACCCCTCAACCTCCACCTCTCTCTGTAGATGGCTTACTCTTTCTGTGAGGATAGCTGGAGAAGCACTTCTTCATCCGTATATATTTTTTCCCCTTTACATGGCATATTCTTTCAATCTGCAAGTTCAGCTTTTCCTTCAACTGAGGAAATTTTTTCTTATATCTTTGAATATGTCCTTTGTTCCTTTTGTTTTGTTCACTAGTTCAGAGACATCTCTGTAAATTTCTCAACAATATCTCAACTACAGGTCCACTATTTCATCTCTAAATACTTGATTCTTTCTTTCTTTGTGTTCTTTGTATTCATCTCAATCTCCCCCACCCTCCTTACTAATTCAGTTTGAGGCCATATCTGTTTAATTCCTTCATATTTCCAGCATATTGATTAGTTCTATATTTTTATAATTTTCCTCAGTTCTGTTATTTTAGTCTTTGATTTATTTCTTCAAATTGTAATCTCCCGTCTTCGTGTGATCCTCTTATCTCACTTTTGATTTCCTATTTTCATTTTTCTTCAGGTTCTAACTTCTCCTGAGTCAAAGAACTTTTCACAAAAATGTATTTTTGATGTGTTTATTAACTCTATGCTTCCACAGGAGACATCTGTCTCCTTCCTACATGTTTTCTGTCTTCTTTCCTTTATACCTTCCTCTCTTCTTTCCTTCCTCTTTTGACTATAGTATTTGTGGATGTGTGCCATGCCATTTGTTTTCATTTTATTTCTTTTTGAAATGAATATTTTCACCTGGATTTTCTCTTTACCTGAGAACTACTGTGTAGGTCAATTTTCATGGAATCCTTCTTACCTTATTTAAGATCTCTGTTCTCCCACAGTGCTTAGCTGAGGACTGGGTATTTTGTGTCTGCTTTGTTACTACTTAGGTGGTAGGGTAAAGGGGAAGTTCAGATGGAGTTGTGGGTAGTGGTGTTCGTGGGATTGGTTTCTGCTCTTTTATTATAACTTTGTTCATAGTTCAACATGTGAGTTTATTATACCACTCTGTGGGTATATCTTATTCTTTTGGGTGGGTAGTGGTAGATATTTCCCCAATTCAGGGTAGAACTGTAGAGACAATCTGCCCAGGTGTTTATTTTCCAGACTTGATGCAACTATTCCCAGCAGCCACTCTAACTCCCTTGCCACAGGCAGGAAAAAACAGACAAAATCCAAGGAGTGTGGCCACTATGCTATTTCTCAGAAGTGGTGATCAGGGATGGAGGGCAGCTTCAACTGGGGCTTTCCATATGTCTCCTGCCCTCACTTTAGTGAATGGGCTTGTTTTATTTATTTTTTCTTTTGTCTTACTTTCTGGTAAATCCCTCCACATTGTTTGAGATAATCAGCTCTGGTAGAATGCTGTGCAATCATTCTGCCTTTCCTCTCCCTTCCTACTCAGTAAGAAAAGCAAACAGCAGCACAGGCAGATTTTTCTCTTGTTGGAGTATTGTTGTGGTGGTATTGAGATCCTTCCACTCTGAAGAAACTTTCTGACTCTCCTATGGAGGCTGCCTGCTCAGCCCCCTCGGTCCACTTCCCTTCTCATTCTGTGGTATTACACTGTCAGAATTTTCCTTCATACATCTTCCTCTCAGTAATGGTTCTTTGAGGGAAGAAAAAAGGGCTATCAAGGGTGGGAGTTCTACATTTATTCCTAGTAATTTTGTTTGCTCAAACCATTATTTTAAAAGATTATTATCTTTTCTTATATTTGAGAGTTGCTGGTATATTTATGGTTGGTTTTAAAATTTTTTGTTATTGTCACTTTTGTTGAGTTCAGGAGGAGGGTAGCTGGTTTTAGGACCTACCAGTTCTGGGATCACCCTTCAAACAGCCATCTTAGCAGGGCTAGAAGGCCGTAGCTAGTTACTTTTTTTGGTAGGGGAGGGAGGCTCAACATAGGAGATTTCTCTAGTCAAAAGTCCCTGGTATGGCTTTCACTCAATTATTAGATCTTGTATGATTCAATCAATCATACAGATTTCTCAGGAGTCCACTGCTGGGTACAGTGTGGATACATCAAGGTACAGTGAGGCCAGAGGCACCACAGGGTTTACCGTCTGTCACATGAAAATGTCAGAAAGCAGTAAGTGCCGGGACATAACCCAAGAGATGACAGGTAACTAAAATAACATCTAGTCCAATCTTTTATCCAAAGAAGAATCACTAGCTACCCCATTTCTGACAGATGGCCCTTCAGACAGTGCTAGGATATCTTAAGTGTCAGAAAACTCCTGAACACTGTTTTATTATCGGAAAGCTCAAAATACTTAAATATTCTTTACCTTGAGCCAAACTATAACTCCTCTTCTCTCTGCATGGTCTCCTTTGGAGAAGCTTCTAATTCACATGACTCCTAATCTAAGCTCCATTTGGATGGCTACCACAAGTATGCCTATAGTCCTGATCTCTAGCCTGGCCTACAATTCTGGAAAATTACTGAGCAGGTTGAAAACCTATTGCATCAAAACCCATGAGAGATGGTAGAACATGGATAACTATAAAGTCCTGCATGCGAATAAAAAGTAACTATTGTATGGGATGAAGATACCTGATTTGGCTCTAGTAAAAGAGATTTGAGGCTTGTAATCCTAAATGTACTGTGAGCCCATAATAAGGCACAGCGAGTCTATGCTGCCTGAATAACAAATGTCAATACCAGGGACATTTGCCAATATCTTTCTGAGCTAAGAGCTTGTTAGGACACATCTGGGCCTCTGGTACAGCAACAACCAGAATGTGTGCAGGCAGGGGATGATATCTAGGAACCGTGGTCCATAGTCCATGAGCAGTTGGGAAATAAGGCTACAGCCTGGAGAAGGGAAGTTTTAGAGAGGTACAAAAGCTGTCTTCAAGCAGGAGAAAGATTTATGAGAAAGAGAATACTTGGTTTGTTCTTTCTGCTTTCAGAGCACAGCCCCAGGATAGTTTTATGAGATAACAAAAGGCTGTTCATTGGTTCTGTTGACTAGGAGGCATCAATTTCTGAGGTCTGCAAAAGATCTAACTACCTTACCCTGGAAAAACCCTGTTTCTATTTCTGTCTATGGGGATATGGAACCAGATTTCTAGGTGGGACACAGATGAGTGAACCATTGAATTCACTTGAGGAAGAATAGTTGGGCAACAAACCTCCTGAGAAGCCTGCCAAAGAGAGGGGATTTTTCCAAACATTATAGCCAAAGAGAAACCAGCTTCCAGTTGTCAGAAACCAACCTTGAAACCCAGACATGAGAGCCTGCTTGGTACTGTGGATAGCAATGGGAAGAACTAGAATTTAAAGCAGATGAAATTGGTTTAAAATCTGACTATGCCATTTACTAGTTGTGTGACATTAATTACTAAACTTGCTGAGTCTTGGCTTACCTACCTATAAAATGAAATGATTAAGTTCTAGCTCATTGGATCACTGTGAAAATAAAATAACAATTATAAAGCCCCTGCCATATAACTAGGTTCTTATAAACTGAAGCAAGTTGCCAACAGTGCTACTGTGATTTCAGACATTTTATAAGTTAAACACTTTTTTTTTCAGGGCTCCCTTCTGAACACTCCTCAGGTATTGAGGAAGATGAGTCAAAGAGTGGCTTGGATGTCATGCCCAATATTTCTGACATGCTGCTGCGCAAACTGCGGGTCCACAGATCTCTTCCTGGAAGGTAAAATCAGGGTATAAGTTGCATAAGACCCTGTATTGAGTGGGCCCTGTGTTAGTCTCTGGATGGGACATAGTGGAGCACCAGCCTTGATTTTTGACTCCAGAAAGGTCAAAGTCTAATGGTCTAGACAGGGCTAATTCATCCAAAATAAAAAGAATAATAAAGAGCTATGTAAGGTGGTTCCAACTCAAAGAGCAGGTGGGTTTCATAGGTGGGGGCATGAGGTATCACCAGAAGCTAATGGCAGCAGTGGGTGGTGGACTTTGGGCCAGGAGACATAGTTTCAATTCGAGATCTACCATTTACCCATAACTGAAAGATTCTAGGTCTGATATCTGCATAGATAGAGATGTAGAACATTTGGAACCACACAAGGGTTGCTTGGGGAACCTACCAGGTTCTTCCACATGTGGGGAGAAAGTGACTTCACTTGCCAAGCCTCAACCTTCTCACCTATACAACAGAGGTCATAAGTGCTCTGTCATTGGTAGGGTGCTGCACTAGCTAAAGGAGAAAGTGTTCAAGCTGGGACCTAAAACCATGTCAGCACATGACAGGCTCTTGAGAACTAGATTGAAAAGCAAATAGTTTGGAGCATGAAGGAGAAAAGAGAGGGTACCACTAAGCAGTAAGAATTGGGTGGGTGTCTGCAATTGAGGCATCCTGCCAAGCCCAAGCAACCTGGAGACTAAACTGTTGTGGGAGTGCACTGGGGGGAAAGGCTATTAGGAGGACCATTCATACGTAACAGAACCCACTGATTTGGGGGTAAATATGAAAGGAAAACAAGTTTTACCCAGGGAGTGTGATGTGTTCAAACTGCAAACCATCATCACCTAAAACACAGAGTCATCAGGGCAATACTCAGAGGACCTAGCGACTAAGCCAGCATCAGGAAAAGTGCCAGAAACAAGTCAGAAGCAGGCTGCATCCACAGCTGGAGGAGGGCGTGGTTTGGGCCAGTTCATCTCATAGAAGGCAGAGAGGGGCTGTCCAGAGGAAGGAAACTAAAGGAGAAGCACTCTGAGCGCACTGCAGGTTACAGAGCATGTTTATATGCTGGGTGTCTTTTGGTGTTTATGACAACCCAGTGAAGCAGAAAAGGAAGATTTTATTCATCTTCAGTGAGGGAAAAGAGGCAAAGAAACATGTTAGCAAGTGACAGAGTCAAGAATTGAACTCAGCATAGGCTGACTGCAGACTCAATGCCTTTCCATCTATACCAGGGGCCTGTCACAATTACCAAAACAACCATTGATACTCTTGTCTGTAGTGAACAAGGCTGGTCAGTGGTGTGATTGGCTTCCTTTTCCTCAGGAAAGTTGAAGATAATTAGTATCATTAGAGCACACCTCCAGCTAATTAAATTCCCTCAACTTCCCCAGGAGAAGACTGAGCACTTCTATTTTCCTTGAGTAAGTCAACAGCTACTAGCTACCAATAATGAGGCCAGACAGGGCCTGCATGGGCCTGCACAGTCAGTGAATAAGATCAGCTTCTGAGCATGTGGTCCAGACTCTCAGATTGAGTTGCTCTCATGCATTGTGCCAATAGCCATATTGCCCATCCCCAAACTTCCTGCTCCAACCACCAAATCAGGCTCCCTGCTCCTGGCCTTCATAGAGGCTGTGCAACTTAGTCCACTGGCTGGGCCCAGAACTCTCTATCCCTGGTTTGGAGGATGGAATAGATGGGCAAATAGTCATGTGAGACATTGACCAACAGGGGGAAGACAGAGGTTTAAGAATCCTTCCTCCAGAAGAAATATGGGGAAATTACACTTGAGTTTTAATATGAAAGAGTTAGTTTCATGATCTATGTGGACTATGTGAATTGGGACTGGACCATACAAAGAAGGAGCTCATGGAGTCAGCAAGTTGAATGAATTCAGTAGAAAAACCAGGGACCGAACACAAATTAGGGACACAGTCAATGGTTGATTAACAAGAGTGTAAAGAGAACATGTTACTGGGTCAAAAACCAATAGGAGCAATAAATAGGAATTTAATCAATAAATATTCATTGCCTATTTTATGCCAGACATTATAATGGAGAACAAGCAGACACAGTCCCTGTTCTCATGGCACTTACGTCCTAGGTGGGGAGACAAATAATATTTAAGTAATTAAATGAATGAGTTCAGATAGCAAAGCTGCTAAGAAGACCATGATATAGGCACATACAGAGATGACAAAGGAATGGAACATTCAAGGGTCAAGGTCGGCCCCAGTGATACAGTAACCATTAACCTAAGACATGCAGATGACAAAATGAAGCCATCCATGCAAAGATTTCCAGACAAAAAGCACAGTGATTTTAACAAATGATGCTGGGATGACAGGATAGCCACATGCAAAAAAGTAAAATTAGAATAACTTTACCTCACACAATACACAAAAATGAGCTCAAAATGAACCATAGGCCAAAATTTAAAAGCTAATGCTATCAAACAATTAGAAGAAAACATATGAAGAAATCTTCAATACGTTGGTTAGTCCATGGTTTCTTAGATATGACACAAAAACACAAGCAACAAGAGAAAAAATAGATGAATAGTATTTCATCAAAATTAAAAACTTTTATGATGCAAATAATATCATTAAGAAAATGAAAAGACAACCCACAGAATGTAAAAAAATATTTGCAAATCATGTATTTGATGAGGGATTTGTTTCCAGAATATATAAAGAATGCTCATAACTCAATAAAAAAAATAACTATTTTTTTATGTTTATTTATTTTTGAGAGAGAGAGACAGAGAGTGAGCAGGGGAGGGACAAGAGAGGGGGAGACACAGAATCTGAAGCAGGCTCCAGGCTCTGAGCTGTCAGCACACAGCCTGATGTGGGGTTAAACTCATGAACTGTGAAATGATGACTTGAGCTAAAATTGCATGCTTAACTGATTGAGCCACCCAGGTGCCCCGAAAAGATACTATTTTTTTTTTAATGCAAAGGATTTAAGTACACACTTCTTCAAAGAATAAGCACATGAAAAGATGCTCAATGTCATTAATCTTTAGGGAAGATTAGGGAAATGCAAATCAAAATATTAATGAGATACCATTTCACATCTACTAGAATGGCTATAATAAAAAAGATGGACAATAACAAGTGTTGGTGAGGACATGAAGAAATTAGAGTCCTTAGTAAAGTGATGCAGCCCCTTTGGAATAACAGTTTGTCAGTTCTTCAAAAAGTTAAAAATGTATTTCCATATGGCCTAGCAATTCTACTCCTGGGTATATAAGAAAAATAAATAAAAATATGCCTCTACACAAAAACTTATAAATGTTCAATAACAGCATTTTCGTATTGGCCTGAAAGTGGAAATAACCCAAATGTCCAGTAACTGATGAATGAATAAATAAAATGTGATATACCCATTCAATGAGATATTATTCAGCCACAAAAATGAAGTACTGATATATACTACCACGAGGATAAACCTTGAAAATATTAAGCTAAGTGAAAGAAGCAAATCACAAAAATCCACATGTTGTATGATTCCATTTATATGAAATTTCCAGAATAGGGAAATCCATAGAGTAAGAAAATAGATTAGTAATTGCCTAGGGGTGGGAATGGGGGTTGGAGAAGATAGAGATTTGATTGCAAATGGATACAGGGTTTCTTTTTGGAATGATGAAGTTCCAAAATTGACTATAGTGATTGATGGTTGTACAATTCTGTGAATATATTAAAAATTACTGAATTGTAAATTTTAAAGTGTAAATTTTATGATACATGGATTATATTTCAATAAAGCTATTATGAAAGAGAGTGGGGAGAAAAAGGAAAGAATAGTAAATGCTAAGTCCTGGGGCCACAGTGAGTGTGTATGAGGAACAGAATGGCCAATGGGTCTGGAAAATGGGAAGATGAAAGTCTGGTAGGGACTGGTTCACAGAAAACCTTGATTTTATTTTAAGGTCTATTAAGGGAGTTTGAATTCTGAGGCAGGCAATGCCACCCCAGTCTCCTTGTATGTCATCTGCTGGGCTTCCGTCATTTTTGGAAACCCATGGCTCTGTCCCCTAGCTGTCTATACCAGTTCATAAGACATAGTTCTCTGCATCAGGAGCTGGCCATGTCTTGTGGCTTTTTAAATTTGAATCACACTTCCCTGAGTCCTCAGGGCTTTATACATTTTAAACAGTTGTGTTCTATAGCAAAAAAAGCAGAAAGTAAATTATCAAAATAGATGAGTTTGGTTAATAACGAAAATATGTATATTTTATATACTATCCAAATAAAGCCAGGAGTCAAAGGCAAGCTCAGTGAGTTTTGATAAATTTGTTTAAGCAATATGTGCTCTATATGACAATCAAGATTATGCTGGCTGGCTCTCAGAGGAAAGGGCTTGATGGGTGGGGTTGTGACAAGCATTGTAAGCATTAAACATCTTTGCAGTTGTTTGTCCCATGTTCTGTACTCTGCTGACTTGATGGCGATGGGGTCTTGTTGCCTCATCCTCACAGGAAGGCTCTCATAGTCCTTTGTCAGGGGTGAGAACCAGCCCCTTGCAGAGATAACTGACCCCTACCTTTGCTCTTGGGGTCCCTCCACACGCGTCAAAAGGAGGAAGCTGTGTTTCCTGAGAATCTTATCGATGGCATGCTCTGTTGCCAAGTTCTGTGACGCTGGTAGGACCCCTCCCAGTGCTCCCACCCCAGCACAGGAAAGGGCCTGTGCATTATTTACGTTGCCTGGGTTTCAGAACAGGACTAGCTTTAGTCACCAGCAAGAGAAGCAGCAGCAGAGTGAGTGTGCAGACAAAAGGATGGCTAACTGTGGGAACCACACACGAAGAGGAACCTCACAGAAAGGCACCTCTGTGCTGGCTGGGACTTTCTTGCCTCATCTCTAATTCCACCCAGTAGAGACGGTTCTCACTGTAGAGAGGAACTCTGGCCACTCTTTCCTACCTTGTATTCTCTGGCCCACCTGCACTCTTGTCACAACCCTCAGAGACAGGAGGAGGGCCTGGCTTTGCAGACCTGAGTATCCCCCCCACAAAACTATAAAGGCTATTCAGATGTGTGCAGTTTATAAAGTACATAGCATATGCATTTTCTTACTGAGTCTTTACAACAAGGCTATGAGTTAGTCATAATAATAGCTAAATCTTCTGAGTGACTACTCAGTGTGGATGTCATGTATATACAAACATGTATACATACACACATATACACATTTATACATATACATGTGTGGATGTCATATATATGTGAATATATACACACATACATTTATACACACACATACATGTATATACATTTATTCCTTAGAATACTCCTGCAAGGTAGATATTATTCTCATTTTACAAATGAGCAAACTTAAGTAACTTGTCCAAAGTCCCAGACAGTTGAGGCGCTGATGGAGGACTGACCCCAGGATCTAATATTTTCCACCACACTTCCTCTGTAGGAGTCAATGTCTGGGCAAATATCTCATCACTACAGAGCTCACACAAAGGGTACCCTGCATCTTTTCCCTCTCACCAATTCTTCTCACTACATTTCTGGGCATACATAGTCTGCTGGTTGTTCAAAGTCACTTTCTGGTTTATTTCATAGGTTGGACACAGTTCATTTGCATGTCTTTTCTTTTTCACAGTGCCCCTCCGCTCACTGAAAAGGAAGTTGAGGTAAGTGATTCCAGTGCTTTATGAAATTTAGTGCTGGAGCTTTATGGGGTTTATAGAAAACATTCCCTTCTCTAGCCCCTGTCCCTGACAATTGTATACAAAAATGAGAATACATGACTGTTAGGTAATATGGACATTGAGATCAGCCCTACTAAACTGCTGAGACTCCCACCCCAGGTAAAGGAAGATTTTGGCAAATTTGGTCAGAGATAAGAATGTGCCTGGAAATTCCACATTTCTTCAAGGATGGTTTATGCTTTTTAAAAGGATGACTTAGATACACATAGTTATCTGGGAGGCAGCAGAACTCAATCAAATTTATTTCAAAATTATTAACAGCTGGCCAGATTTCAAGTTTTAATCTTTGGTCCAAAGGAAAAAGTTATTTCCCTTTTGAGGATTCCAGACGTAAGGAAACTTGCTCAGCCAAGGTGAGAGGCTGTGCTGTCAGCTCTCCAGCCTTCCCTGATTCCTCCAATACTCCCCTTAGGGCCTGCTTGTCTCTGTAGAGATGCTATCCCAATGGGTTGGTGAGTGAGCTGAGAGGAACTTATCTTCGTTTCATTGTGGTGAAGGGGTAAATGGACAAAGAGAACACGTCCCAGGTGAGGTGGTGAGGACCTATGATGCCAGCACTAGTTTCCAAGACAATTATATTGGAATGGATAGAAGGAAGGGAAGAAGAACATGGATGAGTTCAGAATGTCTTTACACACAGGTTAGGAGGATAGAAGGTTTTAAAGTCTTTATAGAATGGTTTGCCACTGATAATAAGAAAATTAAAATACCCTTCCTGAGACCCAGTGGGCTGGATAAGTAGAGGAAGACAGGCAATGTGAAATATCTGCCACAGATAGTAACAATTACCTTGCACACAGACATTGTTCATCACACATTCCTATCCATCCTTTCAGCTGATCCTCCAGTCAGCTCAGAGTAACAGATAGAGCAGGAATTAGAACAAAGAAGGAAACCAAGTGATGAAATAACTTACCCAAGGTCCCAGACCCAGCACTTAGCAGAACCAACCCTGGGACCCAAATATTCTGTCTGAATTCAGGACTCTTTATATCACACTTCCATGAAGGCGATAACCCAGGTATAGAAAGCTAAACAGTAAGCATTATTGATAAACTGACTGGACTGAGGTTTGGGTAGCATAGAGACCACTAAACCAGTGACATTGGTGAAGATGGTCTGTGGGTGGTTTGTTTAATGGCTGGCTTCTGTCCTCAGATGTATGCTGACACAATCAGTGCTCAGCATGATGAAAGTAGCACAGGTGTTGAATAGTCTAAGGTGTCAAATAGTCTAAGGTTGAATCCTGGCTCTATTACTTGCGTCACCTTAAACAAGTTAATGACCTCTCTGGTCTCAGTCTCTTTACCCATAGGGTGGACATAACAGTTCCTATTGCAAAGGCTTTTTGTGGGGTTAAATGAGCCAAGGTGTGCAGAACTCACAGCAGTGCTAGCATATAGTAGATGCTCAATGAGGAGTAGCTTCCTATAGTGCCATCATTGTTGTTATTGGGTCAGTTTAAGGCCTTAAATTCTCTGTCTGGAGATGTCTACCCACCATGGGCCATATCACATGAACTTCAGAAGCTCAGACAGAGTTAGCTTACCCCAAAGGTGTAAATCTGCTATCTCTTGACTCAGGGCAAATGAAGGCCATGGTTTCCTGTGTAGAGACCATCTGCCTATTTCTCCTCCTCAGTAGTTTCCTATTATACCAGGAATTTCATGTTTGCTCAAACCACCTTGCAAAGTTTCATTCATGCATCCTGCATTTTTGGCATGAAATATTTGTTCCAGGACACTTTTCCTAACAGAATCATACCTGGCCTTATTTAATCTCCTGACACCTTATTAAAGCTGCTTTCCACATAGGATTTGTAATACTCAGGTAAGATGCTGGTTGAAGTTTGCTTTAAGACAACACATCTTACATTTTAAATGGAGTTTCTTTAAATACAGTGGTTCTATGCAAAACCTCCAAAACACACATCCAATGAATCCTAGAATGAATCTAAACTGCTTACACAATGAGCTGAGTTTACCTAAACCTAAATACAGGATATTTTCTTAAAATTCAGGTAAAAGTAAAGTGTTATTCTCTTATTATTTTCAGTAAAATGCATTTGGTCTTCTGGTCCTGAAAAGGACCTAGCACGAACCTTAGGTTATTATTTCACCATCTTTTGTGCAGTTTACTATGAAGGAGAGTTTCACTTGTACCTGGCTGCTTTGGTGATTGGTTCCAGGAGCTACTGTAAAATGCTCGTGCAAGAAACATACCTGCGACCTTATTCCCTGTAATAACTCCTCCTAGCACCTCTCCCACACTCTTGTTCCCAACAGAACGTGTTTGTACAACTGTCCTTGGCCTTTAGAAATGACAGCTACACTCTGGAATCTAGAATTAACCAGGCTGAAAGGGAACGTAACCTGACAGAAGAGAACACAGAGAAGGAACTGGAAAACTTCAAAGCTTCCATTACGGTAATTGTAGAGCCTGATTGGAGAATCCCTAGAGGAGGGACTGTCTCCTAGGGCTATGCCAGGGGTCCTGCTTTCTTAGTCACCAACTAGAGTATTCTGACATGAGAAATCAGGTGAAGGTCCTGAGCCAAACAGAGTCTTCCTCAGAGAGCTGAGAGGAAATGAGGTAGAGACCTAAAGGCCTGGTTACCTCAGGGCTGTGGGTAAGGCCTCCAAACCCTCAGCAGCTTCTCAGGAGGAGTCTAGGTGACCTGGGATGACAAAGGGAGCACCTTGGGGACCAAAGGCCTGGATGTGATTCCCTTCTTTCAGGCCAGCCATGTATAGAGTGTCCATATTGGGATTCTCCAATCCCCAGAAGAAGGTGTAGCCCAGGCCTTGCAGAGGCCGCTCCTTTCAGCCAGGATGGGGAACAGGGCTCATTGTGACAGCCCAAGTCATGTCTTGGTATGTGAGGACCCCGAGTGATGTTCCTTGTCACTTCCCAGTCCTCAGCTTCACTATGGCACCACTGTGAGCACCGGGAGACCTACCAGAAACTGCTGGAGGACATTGCTGTCCTGCACCGCTTGGCTGCCCGCCTCTCCAGCCGAGCTGAGATGGTGGGGGCCGTCCGCCAGGTAAGCCTCTCCAGCTTCCAGCCCTCTGACCAGCTCTGCTCTGTCCACAGTAACTAGAGCAATAATGTAAGCAGTGACAACTATAGACACCAGTTATCGATGGCTTCCTTTGTGCCAGACATCTGTATATTATTGTGTTTTATTTACTAAGAGTATTTTTGGTGGACCACTAAACCTTTGAGGTGTTCCTTGGATAAAGCTTTCTGTGGACATGCAAGTTTGGGAACTGCTGCATACTATCATCCTTTCTTGGTTATTTCTAATACATATTGGCACCATCAAGGCTTTGAGAAATCCTATACTGAAAAAGCCTGTTTAATTTTTACCAGTGTGTTTCCCTAATGTATTTGACTGAAGAACCATAAAATACCTATTTTCTCATAAAACATCTATTTAACTCCCATGGAACTAGTATTTGGCAAACATGCTTCAGGAAAAACTGCTTTGTTTCATTTAAGCCTCCCAGCAATCCTGTAAATATCCTTTCCCCCTGAAGAAGACATGAAGCTTCAGAAAGGTAACAGCAAAAGTAGTGGCAGAGCTGGGGTGCAGGCCCAGATCTGGCTCCCTTTCAGCCACTTTGAAGTCCTAAAGCTCATAGGGCACTGCCCTGGTCCAGGATGGTGTTATGGGATCAGACTGCCTGAGGCCTTATCTTGGCTCCACTAGGATTCACTGTGTGACCTCAGGCCAGATACTGAACTCTCCATGTTCCAACTTCTCCAACCAATGAAGATGATGATAGTATCTGCCATAGAGGGTTACTTGCAAAGTACGTAGATGTTATTATCACTGTTGCTAGTACCGTGCTCACCTATCCTGCTGCACTCGTTGCATTAGTAGGGTGTTCCTAGAGTAGAGCCTAGAGCAGTCCTTGTAGAATGAAGGAAGGACAAGCCAGTGGGCTGCCCCACCCCTGTGTTCTTCCGGGGAAAGGGCACCTGACTCAGCAGCTCGCCCAGGAAGTCACTCTGGCTGGGGAAGCAACAAAGGGAGAGCTCAAGGGAAGTGTCTGGTCCCAGCTCCTGGCTGCAGGGAACTTTTCTAGGGAATACTCATTGAGTATGTCCCACTGTGGCCAGCAGGCCCTGGGCTAGGCTCACCGAGGGATCCAATGAGGATAAGCAAGGGAAACTCTTCCTCATTCTGTATGGCCCTCCCAAATGTGTTTCTTGGCCCATGCACTGTTGATAGAAGTCTTCAGCCTTCTCCACATGGCTTTCCCACCCCTAACTTCCATGTCTTCCATGTTGGTCCTCATCTTTCTCTCTGGTCCCACCAGACTGGTCCTGGCACTTGTCTTCTCTTTCCTAGTTGCACTCACTGCCACCAGTCTCACCCCTTCAGTCTAGTCTCCACTGTTGGCCTATGTCACTTCCTTACCTTAAGATATTTGATGGCTCTTTTCCTTCAGAAAAAGTCCAAATTCCTTAGTGTTCCATTCAAGGTCCTTCACAACTCAGCCCTAACTACCCTTTCTTGTTGGAAACAAACCCAACTGCTTACAGATTTCTATGTAAGTAGGATGACCTGTACTCCACTGATTTTCCAGGCAATCCTGACATGTGCCTACTGTCTCAGCATAATTCTTTAAATTTTTTTAAAAAGTAGGCTCCATGACTAACATGGAACTTGAACTCACAATCTCGAGATCGAGAGTTGCATACTTTACTGACTGAGCCCAGCATAATTCTTAATAGCACCCCTTTTTTTTTTTTTTTTTTTTTTTTTTTTTTTTTTTTAATTTTTTTTTTTTTTTCAATGTTTATTTATTTATTTTTGGGACAGAGAGAGACAGAGCATGAACGGGGGAGGAGCAGAGAGAGAGGGAGACACAGAATCGGAAACAGGCTCCAGGCTCCGAGCCATCAGCCCAGAGCCTGACGCGGGGCTCGAACTCACGGACCGCGAGATCGTGACCTGGCTGAAGTCGGACGCTTAACCGACTGCGCCACCCAGGCGCCCCAATAGCACCCCTTTAACTCTTCAAAGACTCCTGTCTGAAGGATAGATCCTTCACCTAGGTACAAGCCCTGTGATGTTCTGCTTCTGGACCTTTATTCTTGGAGTCCACTGGCCTGAATCTTTTTGTCTCTCCTACCTATATCTTCATGCCCAGATGCTGCCCATACCCCACATCCACTTCACTCTACCTCCAGGAAGCCTCCCTGACCCAGTCTCTCTGCAGAGAGGACTTCTCCACCTCTCATCTCCTCAGGCATTGTGGCTGTGCTTGTTCTTGTCCTCCCTGAGTGCAAGTGCCTAAATCCCCCTCTCAGCTCACATCACAGACAGCAAAATCTTAGAAGGCAGAGTTACACCTAAGATTGGTCCCTGGATCCTTTTGATTGTCCCATCCCAGAGCCTAGCTCAGAGCAAGCAAGTGCCAACAAGCCTTTCCTCCAACTTCCCTGTGTGCTCAATGCTCTCCTTTCCTTCAGGAAAAGCGTATGTCAAAGGCAACAGAGGTAATGATGCAGTATGTGGAGAATCTGAAGAGGACGTATGAGAAGGACCATGCAGAGCTCATGGAGTTTAAAAAACTTGCAAATCAGAATTCAAGCCGCAGCTGCGGCCCCTCTGGTAAGGAACTGGGCTCCTGCCCCCATCTTGACCTTGCAGTGTGGGTCTCTGATAGCTCTAGGCCAGGATCACATCTATTAGTACAGCCCAAGGACATGCTTTTAGTTGAGCAAGGATCACTGCCCCTGCCCAGTGCTGCCCATGGGGGCCTCACAGCAGCTGCTTCAGTGAGCCTAGAGGCCTGGAACCAGAAAATATGAACAGTCCCAAAGCAACTCCTGACACAATTAACCAGGGCGGTTGACCACTGATGTGAAGCCCACAGGCTGCAAGAGCTCACTCTACTTGATGAGAATGACAGACCTCAGACTTTGTAGTCTTTGTGCTTTGGGGCCAACACATACTAAGGAATTTGAGCTTTATCCTAGAAAGCAATAGATTTTAGTCAGGGAAATGACACGATCATTTATGGAATTCAGAACATTCCTTCTGATTACAGTGTGGCAGTTACATTACTGGGGTAGAGCCAAATACAGGGAAACCCACAAAACTGCTATTACAATAGTCCAGGTAAGGGATGAGTCTGGGCAGTGGGGGTGGCATGAGGGCCTGGCTAAAGGAGATACTGCTGAGATAAATAGCAGATTCATGGGAAAGACACATGTTTCAAAGAAATAATCTTTTAAAAAAATGTTCTATACAATTGCTATAGGAGCACAGAGGTGATTCTGCTTGAAGGAATCAAGGGAAGTTTTACAAAGGGACAGCATCTGGGCAGTGTTTCAAAGTAAAAATAGTAGTTCTCTAGGCAAGAAGGGGAGGTATCTCCCGGGTAGAGGAAACAGCGTATACAAAGATGTAGGGTTGGGATGGGAAGACCATGAAACAAAAGAGTTAGATGTGGTTGAAGTGTGATGATGACAGGTTGAAGGTAAGACTTGGTAGGCCAGGGCCACATGCCAGGCCATGCTAATAATTTGGGCCTTTGTCCTTAAGGCAATGAGGAGGCACTGGTGAGTTTACACCACATAACATGGTCAGATTCTATTTTTAGAAGATTTCTCCCACTTCAGAGTGGGCAACACATTAGGAGCATGTAGACACTGATGTCTAGAAAGACAAGTTAGGAGGCACTTGCAGCAGTCCAGGACGAAAAGGACAGTGACCTGGATGAGGATCTCTGCTTGGGAGCTGTCAGAGTCTGGGCTCTGGCTGATGAGGATAGGACTAGCAGAAGAAAACAAACCTTTTAGTGACAGGAATCCCTGTGGAATGCAAACATCCGGGTTACCAAGAGCAGGAGGAGGGAAAGTATAACAGATGGAGAAACCTTTATAAACAGGAGGTTTCACAAGTTTCCTGGGGAATATCAGTGACACTTTCCAGAGTCAAAAGGCAGTGTACACATGCTCCAGACTGTCTGCTTTCGATCTTGACAGCAAACTCCTGATCCACAAGCATCTGGGCTTATAGCAAACTGCTCTCTGTCAGTGTTAGGAGTTGGGGAAGTTGCCACCAAAGAAATCCTAATACATGGGTTCTTGCATTATTGTCCTGGAAGGTACAAGGTCTCCTATAAACTGCCTTATCCAAGATTTATGGAATGAGCAGTTACCCATTCATTCATTCTAAAGACATTTACTGAACACCTTTGATGTGCCCCACATGATACTGAAATATAGAAATAAAGGACACGCAGTCACTGAGATCCAAAGGAACTCCCAGCCTGTGGGGAAGGCAGAGCAGTAGAACCATCCCAGTGACAGCAATAAGCAAGTTCCTATGGGGAGCTCATTGCAGAGTCCCACATTCAGCCTGGGGATAGGAGAATGTGCTTACAGTAAGAAGGGAGATGGTAGCTGAATCTCAAATGGTGAATAAGTGTTTTTCAGATATTTGTTCCCACTGCATTGTTTTTCAGCCTGGGCTCGTGTAGAGGAGCCAGCATCCACCTAACAGGTGTGTCCGTTGGATACTCTATGACCATTCCCTAATAATGTTTGTTTTTAAGCCTTTACATGACTACTGGCAATCTTTGTCTATGCCTGAGACTCTGAAGACTACAGTGAAGTAAAAATATCTCTTATTTAAGGAAAGGTGCTACACATTTAAAAAATAACATCAGTTATTTTTTTCTGAATATGAAACATACTGATAACCTACATTTTGGATTATTTCCTTAAGATGGATTTCTGGAAGTGTAAATACTAGCCTGGGGGAAAGCAAATTTTATAAGGCTCTTCAAGAAAACTCTTTTCAAATAACGCATTGATATTTCCATGTAATGGGTAACAATAATGCTCAGTTCATTGTGCTATTGATATTCTTGTCCTTTCCTTTAAAAATTTTTTTTGACTTTGATGGGTCAAGATTATATCTCATCTCATAGTTTGAATTTGTATTTTTGGCCTTTTCAAATGTTTTTTGGACATTTGTATTTCTACTTTTGTAAATTCTCTAATTATATCTTTTGCCTACTTGTAAGATTAGTATTTGGTTAATTTGTATGAATGCTTCAATATATAAAAAATATTTTCTGGTTCTGCTATTTTGGCTGACTGAAAAAGTTGAAACTCCTTGACCACAAGTGCTTAGATGTTTCTGCTAGATAAAATAAAGCAAACATTAGTTTAAAAGAATAGCTGAATCCACAGGAAAAGAAATTGAAATACTCAGATACAAGAAAAGAAAAGAGAACTGAAACCTGCAGCTTCCTTGGGTACAAGAGTCAGCTTCAATCATCTCAGTGCTGGGCTTTTGCACTTGCATGCAATCTGAGATGAGGTCTTGGACACCCATGACTGAGAGTTGACTATGAGACTCCTACAGAAAGTTAAGATTTTGCAAGACTGCATCTTTAGACAGAACTTGAACAAGAAAAAAACACTCCTCAAACAGCAGAGACACAAATCAAGGAAGTCTGTTTCACCCTGTAGTAGGAAAAAATACTTTCTCCTTTCTCGTAAGAAAAGTGTATGCCATGACAGAAGTTGTGATGCAATATGCAGAGAATCTGAAAAGAACATCACAATGATGCCTGTAGGGACTCTGTCAGAAACAAACATAAAGCCACCCTGGAGAGGCACACCCTTCACGCAGGACACACAAGATTCTGCTCACTGAAACCTCACTGAAGATTATTTTACAGTATAGAATTATAAAATACATAAGAAAACAATCTACCTTGAACAAGAATCATCCACTAAACAACAGGATTATATCCTAAGGATTACAGAAAATAAAACAACTTGATAAGTTTTAAAAGATATGTTTAAAATTATTAGAGGCATCAAAGAATGAATAAAAAACATGAGAATAAACTAAAATTATCAAAAAAGAATAAAAAATAAAATAATAAAAATAAAAAAGGAAAGAACTAGAAATGAGGATATGAGGAATGGAAATTAAAAACTCAGTATATTAGGTATAGTAGGTACTATAGTGGAGGTAGTTACTATAGTGGAGATTCTAGATCTTCTCCTTTCGGGCACACTTCTCCCAAGTTAGGTGATGCCATGTTAGGTGAATGCCGTGTGATTTGGCAAATAAAATGTGAGCAGAAGGATATGTGTCACCTTTGAGCTGAGGTCTTTAAGAAACTAGTGTGTAATTTGCCCTATATTTCTTCTTCCTCACATGACAACCATCACTGCTCCAGAATAGTAGAAGCTCCATTAGTCTGAGGAAATGCAGAGTGAGGAAATGCAGAGCAGAGCCTTCTGCCAACTCAGAAGCAAATGAACATAAACAAATAAATTTTTATTGTTATAAGCCACTAAGACTTTGGGGTTGTTTATTATGGTAGCATAACCTAGTTTATTGGTACAACATTTAAATCAGACTGGGCACAGTTGAGGACAAAGATTAGTTAACTGAAGATAGATTTGAAGAAGTTACCCAAGTGCAGTTCAGAGGGATAAATTAATCAAAAATATAAAAGAAGGCAGACAGCCTCTCCTCTGTTGTCCTGTCCACAACTCCTTTGTGGTATGTTCAATAAACTTATATTTCCTTTTAAAAATACTAAAAAAATGTTATAAGATATTATAAAATATGGGATACAGAGTATAAAATGAGAAAGTTCCAAATACCTTTATTAGCAGAGCCACAAGAGGAAAATGGGAGAGAGAAAGTATGCAAAAAGGTTTTCCAGAATCTGAGAGTTTTTTGGAACTAAAGAAAGACATGAACCATTGGATTAAGAAAGCACAGTGAATTCCAAGCAGAAGAGATAAAAACACATAGAAGATGAAGTAAAAACTTTTAAAAATAACCAGAGAGAAAAGACAGAGGATTTACAAAAGACAGATAATTCTGAATAGCAATGGTGGTACCAAAAGACAATGAAGTAAAAGTCTTCAAGGAGCTGAGAGAAACAACTGTCCACCTAGAGAAAACAGGGCCAGCTAAACTATGATGCAAGCCTATAGGCCTGGTGAAGATATTTTGAGACAACAACTCAGAAAGTTTACCTATTACAGACCCTTGCCAAAAGAATAACTAAAGGGTGTGCTTAGGAAAGAATAAAATCGAGATAAAAAGAAAGGAGGAGGATGCAAGAGGTAATGGTGATCAGACATTTGTAAATGGGCGTAAATCTAAACAAGCATTCCGTATTGAAAACAATAATCATAATAATATGGGATTACAAAAACAAAGTAAACAAAACTACTAAAAAGCAACATAATTTGAAATTTGAGGGAGTTATTGTTTTAAGGTCTAATTAGGAAAAGAATAGAAATCATGATTAATTTAAAAAGTTAAAGTCATGTAATATGAGGGCGCCTGGGTGGCTCAGTCATTGATGCATCTGACTCTTGATTTTGGCTCAGGTCATGAGCTCAGGGTCATGGGATTGAGCCCCTCATCAGGCTCTGTGCTATGCATCGAGTCGGCTTAAGATTCTCTTTCTCCCTCTGCCCCTCTCCCCTGCTTGTACTCTCTCATAAATAAATAAATAAATACATACATACATACATACATACATACATACATACATACATAAATATAAAGTCACATAATATGTTACAAATTTAAGTGGGTACATTAAAGATTAGAACTAAAATGCATAACTTCTACACCAATGTGCAGGCTGGAAGGGGTGGTAAGTAAAAAAAAATTAATGAAGTGAGGTAAATAGAAAAACAAGGGGGGAAATGTGCTTTTTAAGAGACATACCTAAAATACATGGATATGAGGGACAAACAGATATACAAGCTAGATAATATTGGTCAAACTGACACTGAATTGAGCTTTCAAAAACATTTCTCTGCACATATTAGTGTTTTCTGGTGGCAGTATTATCCAGATGTGGTAGAAAACATTTTATATAAAATATATCATCTAATGTATGTACTAAGGAGATGAAAATGCAGGGTGCTCGTTTCCTTTGTTCCAAATTTTTTATAGATGATTTATTAAAACCACTTTGTCAACAATTTTCCATTATTTACTGATACCACACCTTCCTTGCTCATAATTTCACTGACTGCATGTCCCTTAAATGAGCAAGAAATAACCCCAAAGCCTTGGTATTGCTATGAGTAGTTTTTCACATACTCATCAGGGCATTACCAGAGACTGTGCAGCGGTGTCAGGTGGATATCAGAGATCCAAGATGGGCTTCTCATAGTGCCCAGAGGAGTTAGGATAAAAATTCTGTCCAGAAAAGTCCCACTCTACAGATAATTGTCTCAGGGGGTAGTGTCAAACTCAGTGTTCCCATCACTTAGGCTCTTAAACTATTCCTTGAGGGACAGTTCTGATAAACTGATATCTCAGCTTAGTTTCTGGCTACCCATTTTCTGCTGGAGCCTACTCTGAAAACTTACCTGACTTCTCTTCTCTGTTCCCTCTTGCTGCAGAAGATGGGGTCCCTCGAACAGCGCGGTCCATGTCCCTCACACTGGGAAAGGTATGCATGTTCAAGGAATACCAGGGCTCCCAAGGGGATTACAGGAGACGTTGCCACAGTCACCCAGAAAGTCATTCATGCTTGGATCTACAGGTGCCAGAGAACCTCTGGACAGGGTCTCTAATTCAGTTTACCACACTTCCTAGTTCATCCTTCAACCTTCTCTTGCTCATGGTTTCTCTGACTGTACCATCCCCCAAATTAATACGAAATGATGCATAAACCTTGGTATTCCTAGACTTTTCATACACATCCGGGATGTTATCCAGACTGGGGTCATTTCTTTTCCATTTCTTCAGGATATAATCTAAAATAAGAACATGTTGAGAAATCACTCACCACTAACAGAAAACTTGGGTCAACTTTGGCCACTCTTTCCACACCAAGCCCCAACACCATCACCACCCCAAAGCCAAAATGTCCAGTGAATGTAATTACAGCATTAGGAACTAGTAGGAATTTTCCAGGCCTTTTGAACTGTGGATGCTGTTCCCTCCATGACAGTGGGCCTGGTCACTTCTCTTCCCACAGAACATGCCCCGTCGGAGGGTCAGTGTTGCAGTGGTTCCCAAGTTTAATGCCCTGAACATGCCTGGCCAATCTTCCAGCTCATCACCCATCCCCTCCTTACCAGCCCTGGTGAGTATAATGATGCCCACCTCCCAACCCTCTTTAACCTCTCCCTTAGGGTCACTACTATGGGGAGTGGCCTATGTGGCAGCAGGATCAAAAAGGAGAGGAAATTCCCAGCACTGATTCTAGAGTATGGGCTAAAAAGCTCAATATAGACCACGTCCCATGTCTTCCACTGCCCTGAGTAGAAGACTTGGTATCCTTGAGTAAGATGCTGGCTGCTCAAAGAGTATTCTTTGCAAATCATATTTATTTCCATGTTTAAGCCACAATCCTCTAAAGTGGGCATGATGTTTTTCTTCCATTCTGCAATGGGTTTAAATACCTGAAGGTTTCATTGTGTAATAAGTGTTAGAGCTGAGCTTTTAACCCTAGGCTTTCTAATTCCAGGGTCTGAGTTCTTAAACCCAATGTTATCCTACTTCAATTCTTTGCAGCATTAAGAAATGAAACTACTGAGGGGAAGGGGCAAAAAAAAAAAAAAAAGTTACAGAGAGGGAGGGAAGGAGGCAAACCATAAGAGACTCTTAAATACTGAGAACAAACTGAGGGTTGAAGGGGGGTGGGGGAGAGGAGAAAGTGGATGATGGGCATTGAGGCATCTTTTGGGATGAGCACTGGGTGTTGCATGGAAACCAATTTGACAATAAATTATATTTAATATAAAAAAAAGAAATGAAACTACTGGAATGCCCATTTAATAAGAGATTGATTAAATATACTTGGCCCGAAAAGGGGTTCCTATGCAGTCAAAAATGACATGAAAAATGTCCATAATTTATTATTAATAAAAAGGAATTTAAAAACAGTATATACAGTAGAATTCTGTTTTGTAGGGGTTTTTTAAAGGAGTATATTTTCTATGTGTAGAGATAGTGAATTCTGTAAGACTATTAATACTTGTTATCTCTGGGCAATGATAAAACCACAAGTGATTTTTATTTTCTTCTCAATGCCTTTTTATACCTCTATAAAAAGAATATATTGCTACTAATCAGGAAAAAATTCATTTCAGTTGTTTTAAACATACACAGTTCCTATATAACAAAATATTTTCTACATCCCAGGCTTTTGTGGATCTGGCTAATATTACGTCAAACTCTTCTAATTCTTTCTTCAGTTGCTTCTCTATTCTGTGTCCATGCCTAGCACTACTCTATAAGGCAACAATCTGATTGTGTAAGCAATAGATAAAATAGATTCGAGCTCTTTTGAGCCAATAGGTAGCAGTAGCTTCTTTCACCTCTTTTTCAATCATCTATGAAACTAACCTAAACTCCCAAACCACCCATTAAAACAAAGCAACCTAAAAAAAAATTTTTTTAAAGGAGCTTAGGGAGGGCCAGTTAGTGTGTTTAATAGACCTATTTCTGGTACTATACTAAATGTAAGAATATGTTTTCTAAATATACAGTTGACCCTTGAAAAATGCAGAGGTTAGGGACACCCACCCCCATGCAGTTAAAAACCCGCATATAACTTTTGATCCCCACAAAACTACTGATGATCCGAAGCCATAATTACCAATAACATAAAAAGTCAATTAACACATATTTTGCACGTTATATGTATTATATACTGTATTCTTATAATAAAGTGAGCTAGAGAAAAGAAAATGTTAAGAAAATCATAAGGAAGAGAAAATACATTTATAGTACTGTACTGTATCTATAGAAAAAAAAATCTGTGTAAGTGGGCCTGAGTAGTTCAAACCCGTGTTTTTTAAAGGTCAACTGTGTATTCCTTTAGGCTAAAAGTTGGCAACCAGGGATATGTGTTAAAATCACAGAAGGTACTTCTAAAACATTGCCCAGGCCTCATCCCAAGATTCTGAATTGGATCAGTACTTTAAAAAAATCTCCCCCAGGGGATTCTAAGGTGCAGCCAGATTTGAAAACCATTTCTTAACCCAAATCCATTACAACAAAACAATGTGGTAGTCCTGTGGAATTCATTATAAAGACATTTCTGATGGCTTGGGGTTTTAGGAATGACAGGGATCTCCTGAGGATTGTGCTTGGAGCTACATCTCCAGGGCAGTGATGGGCCTGTGTTTGGTAGGAGACCTGCTGATATTCAGTCCAAGTCAGTAAACAACCGTCTAAGAACTGGATGGCTCCCCTCCAGAAGGGAGCCTCAAGATGTAAATTCTTCACTCATGAAAACTTGGAAGAGGGGAAGTAAAAGGTGCAAGTTGCATGGGCCTCAGGGGGCACTAAGGAATGGAGCCCAATGTTTGGGCTTGATGCAGATTAGAAAGCAGGGGAAGAGGTGGGACGGCAGCAACCCCTTCCCAGCATTATCAGAGACCTAGCAGCTCTGGCTTCTTCCTTCCTAGCTGATCTTCAATTGCCTGTCTCCTATTTTTCATTCAGTCAGAATCAACCAATGGGAAAGGCAACCTACCTGCCACCTCAGCACTGCCTGCACTTTTGGAAAAGTAAGTTTGTTGATTTTCCTCTTAACTTTGGGGATCTCTGAGGAAATTTTCCCTAACTCACCTTTCCTCCCATACTTTACTCTTAAAAATTGATGGAAAGCAAATTAAGTTCTAAGGGAACTGAGTGGGACTCTGAGACTCACAAAGATTTCAGAGTCAGTTTGCAATCTGGACCAGGAACATGCTATAGCTGAGTCCAAGTGTATCTCGATCTCAGAAGAGCCGAGAGGAGATGGAAACCTTCTCTGTTGGTTAGAATTCTTTGGGCTATGGATACAAGAAAGTCCCAACTCAAAGAGGCTTAAAAAGTAAGTCCAGAGGTAGATCATTTCCAGGTGTAGTACAGCAGGGCCCCAGCTCGGCCTCTACAATTTCCTTGCTTCTGCTCACTTTGTATGTTGACTTCATCAGCAGGCTTGTGGCAAATGGCTACTATTTTCAGGTATTCCATCCAGACATGAAAAGAATAACTGGACTATCTCTTCTCATGCTTCTTTTTTATGGACAAACCCAGAAACATTTTTTAAGTCTTCCTTAGTAAATTTGGAACATGGTTCCTTCCTAAACCAAACACAGGCTTTGGGAATGGGATTGTCATCATGGGCTTAAATGGTGCCCTGGAGATGGGGACAGAGGGTCAGTTTCCCATGAAGCAAGATGGCTCTGTGAAGAACAGTAAATTCCTGAGCAAAATCACATGGCTGTTAGGAAGCAGATAGGAGAGTGAGTTCTGGATTGGCAATGAATAGTGTCTGCTCTGCTTAATTTTTCTAGGCATCTATGCAATTTTCAGGTCTTTTCATCCTCAGCCAGAGCAAGGCAGGCTGTTTCTACACACTCAGAAGAGTTTATAACTTGCTTTTCAAATTCTTTCATTTGCTTGCTAGAAAACATCTGGATCACAGCTGTCACCTCTCAGAATTTTCCCTCGTGTCTTTTCTCACTTGGTAGAACATACACCTTTATTCTTCCTTCTTCTTTGTCTTAAGACAGCTTTAGTCCTTCATTTTTCATTGCTGTTAGAATAGTTTTGCTTGACTTGGCAAGGAAAGTCTATGTTGGGCCCCTTTTCATTATAGATAACCTCCCAAGCTCCCCACTCCCAGAATCAGTCTATTTTGCTCACCTCTCAGTATATGCAACCACCAACCTATCACTCCATAATGACTCATCCCACTTTAGTCTTGAAGTTTGTCTAGGAACTCCTCACTTTGATACCTCACCCTGTATAAGCTTACCGTTCCTTCATGTTGCATAGGGTACTTTTGTTTCTTTCTTTGTTTCCTTGGCTTCTTGATAATTACAAAGAAATTAAAAAGGGGTGACAAACTAACAACATGTGAAGTAACCAAGGTTACAGAAACTTACCAAGTCTGTAGAGTCATAATGTCTACTCCATGATCTCTCAATCTCTCCAAAAATGGTCACTTGATTCCCTGAGTGAAAAGCACACTAAAATTCTCCCTTCCAATCCTGCCTTTGGATACACAAACCCCTTCTCCAGAAGAGTCACCAATAAGGCTCTCCATTCTTAGCCTACAGAATCAACCAAGGCAAAAGATCTATGTCCTAACTCTTTGAAACAGACTCTAATCATGATGGATCAGGACCTGGACTCTGTAGAACTATTACTCAGGCCAGCTGAGAGCTTTGGTCTGAGGCAGTGGGGATCATCAAGAATCTGAGCTATCCTTGGTAGGAGAAAGTGAGATGGAAATTAAGGACAGCAAAGCATCAGCCCCAAATCAGAAATGACAACAGGATGAGGATCAGTAGTGGCATCACCATTCCAAGGGTGAGGATAGAGACAAGTCAAGCAATAAGCTCCAGGAAGGTATCTACAGTTCACCCTTTTCTATCCAAAGAGACCACCATGATATATTACCCATGCTGTGGCTATTGGGGATATACCCAGCCTATAAGGATGGCTGCAAAAAGGGGAGGACATATTCAAAGAGGAGGGATTCAAGACTAACAATAGCTTTTCTGCTCTAGATTTATAAAAGGTGCTAAGTGGTTTCTATCTGAATTCATGAAACTAGAAACATTAATAGATTGCCAACAGGCTAACAATGAGGCAATCTGTGACTGAAAATAAGTTCATATCTTCTATTCTAACACAAGTACAGTCAATTCTAGCTACCTTCTCCATAGTGTTAAAGAGAAAAAAAATACATTATAAGTTAATATACATTGTTTTCTAGATTGTTACAATGAGCTTGATTTAAAGTGATTTCACATTTCCCTAAGTATACAGTAACTAACTAAGCAGGAAGGGAAGTGACTAAGCAGGTGAAAAATGATAAGAAGATGAAATTACCTGTGGCTGCTTCTCAAGCAAATATCTGAGAGCTGATTGCACTGACCAATGTGATTTGAGAGAATTCTGAGTGTTGTTTTTGTAGGTCACCTCATAGTAAATTGTTCTTCACTCAACAAAAGTCTAGAGACCTGTAGAATTAGAGGAAGATATAGAGAGCAATATTTAAAGTTAATCTTAAAGATTAAAACAGAAAACAGAATAAAGCTCACAATGAGTTCCCCAAGTAGGAAGAGCTATTTATTCATAGACTTTTATTCTGTCATCCTCAACAATTAATCACCAAGGTCTAAGCATCTAGAATGCACTCAGAAGCTCACAGTCTAATGGGAAAGGCATATGGGAAACAGCCCAGTATAATACAATGTGATACCATAAGGAAGTACAGGTTGCTAAGGCAACAACACACAATGAGTGCCTTAACCCAGATTTCCTATAGGTGGGGGGAGGTGAGCCTCAGAAAATGTTTCCTCTAGGAATGTACTTTTAAAGTGAAGGCCTTTTGTTTCAAAGGGGCACATGCACCCCAATGTTTATAGCAGCACTATCAATAATAGCCAAAGTATGGAAAAAGCCCAAATGTCCATTAATGGATGAATGGATAAAGAAGATGTGGTATATATATACAATGGAGTATTACTCGGCAATCAAAAAGAATGAAATCTTGCTATTCACAACTATGTGGATGGAACTAGAGGGTATTATGCTAAGCAAAATTGGTCAGTCAGAGAAAGACAAATATCATATGACTTCACTCATATGAGGACTCTAAGACACAGATCAGATGAACACAAGGGAAGGGAAGCAAAAATAACATAAAAACAGCGAGGGGGACAAAACAGAAGAGACTCATAAATATGGAGAACAAACAGAGAGTTACAGGAGGGGGTGTGGGAGGGGGGATGGGCTAAATGAGTAAGGAGCACTAAGGAATCTACTCCTGAAATCATTGTTGCACTATATGCTAACTTGGATGTAAATTAAAAAACAAATTTAATTAAAAATTTAAAAATTAATTAATTAATTAATTAATTAAAAAAAAATAAAGTAAAAGCCTTTAAACCTGAAGGCTATGTAGTTTAACCAAGTGAACTGGAGTTTAACAATGTTCCAGGCTCTGAGGCAAGAAATGGAGTAGTCAAGGAATTATAATAATGATGGTGGTGATAATTACTATTATTATTTACAGCATGCTTACTTTATGCCAAGTCCTATTCTAGTTGCTTTACATCAATGATCTCATTTAATCTTTACAATACACCCCTGAGGTAGATATACTATCCCTATTTTACAAATGTGGCAACTGAAACAGAGAAATCACTTGCCTGAGTAGATAGCAGAACTCATGCTTTTAACCTCTTAATAGACCTTCCAACTAGAAGAATGGAAAGAAGTTCAGTATGACTGGAGACAACAGGATGCATTTAAAGGCTATTTTTATAAGAAGCCTTGTGAGCTACTGTGAATGACCTGATGACTGGCTGGCCATGGAGTAGTGTGGGGTGAGAGCAGAGAGTGTACACAGAGCAGTTCACTGAGGGATTAGAAAAATCATGGATGTGAATGATATATGGCATTAGTTTCATAAAAAGAGTCATTATAATGATATATCACAGAGAAATATTCACTATAATCTCTAAAATAAATACTTTTCTACATTTTTGAAGCAGCCAGGGTAAATTGCTTAAAGGCTCTATATGACATCAAATATGTATAGTAAACAACTCCCCTTTGCTGATAGTATTCTGGAATGAACTGGCCCTCCATCAACTAGTATTGTACCCCAGGAATCTGGGACTGAGTAACAGGAATAAGGAAGGTCTTCTAGCTTAGTTCCCCTGGCTGAGCTTGTCTGAGAGGGTCATGGCAATGGGAGTGGCTTAGAGACATCACTGAACCCAAAAAGGTAAGATCTGTCCACTGGAAAGAATTGCAGTCGCTTTCAAATATTGTTTACCACATACCTCCCAGTTAAACAATACGTTTTGACTAAAGAGGCCCTCGCATTACTGAGAACTGAGCACAATGACAAACATTTTTGACCCAATGGACATGAGAAAACAATGAGCCTCATTTTAATGAATCATCCCAGAGAGAAAGCATGCAAGAATTCAGGCTGGGAATAGATGCCAAGATCCATGAGTGTTTGGCCCAGAAATCTCTAGGGTGGGCACAGGCTGTGCTCAGCTCCAAGTTTACAGCCATGAATAGCGATTCCTTCGGCTCAATCCAAACACTGGGTTCTCAGGAAATAGCCATTTACAGAAAGTATCTGCCCATTTTACAAGATTAATAGGCAGATTGGATAAGCCACAGTGAAGCCAGTGTAACTCAACAAACACTTAAAGGCACTTACTGTATGCTAAGCACCATTATAATTCAAGTGCAGTCTCTCTCCCTGTGATCCCAGTCATATGGAGGACGGACATGTATATAAAACATAAAAATGCCCTCTTTCTGAGTTATGCTGTAACAGAAGTACCATGAGGACATAGAGGAAAGGAGAGATCACCTTTAAACAGAAGATACAGGAGAGGTGAGAACACTGGCAAAGCTTCCACAGAGGAGACGGTATTTGATCTGAGTCTTAAAGATACACAGCAAGAACCCTCCAGGTAGTTAGAGAAGATATGTAAGGAATGATTAGCTCAGTCTAAGAGTCTAGAGATAATAACAAACATTTTACATATTGTGTGTTTCCCCTACTTCCCACTCAATGTCCATTATTAAAACAAAGCCTCTCCCAACCCATCTCACATTCTAAACAAGCACCCTTTAAAAGAAGGGCAGTGTCTTAAGCCATGACCCAGCGTAAGGGCAAGAATAGCTTCACTCAGCAGGGATCGTGAAACCTCACACACCACTCAGAGCCCCAGAAAAATACTTCTATTGAAAGGGAGAGCTCAAGAAGTTGTGGGAAATGCACCTTGACATGAATTTAGAAGACCAAAGTGAGATTCCCAGCCAGGCCCACTAACCACCAATAATGTGAACTTACACAAGTCATTTGCCAGGTGTCAGGCTGCACAGGGTCAAATTCAAGCTTTACCACACACTGGTTGTGTAATCTTGAGCTGGTGATTTAACCTCTCTGAGCCTTGGTTTCCTCACCTGTCAAACTGAGAACCATAGTATTACCTATCTCATGGGTCATTCATGAATCTTAAGTGAAATCTTACCACAGAGCCTGATACATAAGATAAATGTTAGCTCTTATCATTGAGAGGGTCAAGTGAGAGGATGTATGTAAAAGCATGTTAAGAACTAAAGCCCCAGAAGTGAGCTGAGTCAGACAGGGTGATCAACTCAACCTGGGTCAGTTGAACTCTGGACAGAAGACCCATATGTTTAAAGGGTCACTGAAATGGGTTTCCTGGATCTACCAGGGAAAAGATTTAGTCTCCAGAGAGCAGTGACCTGAGGACAGTGAAAGTTTGAATTCCTTTGATTCTGAAATGTCAGAGTAATATAAATCAAGCTCTCCATTAAAGATGTAAATAATCACCTGGTATTTATCAGCTTGGATATTTTTATGGATCAGGTTTGAAAGAACCTCAGATTGCTCCCAAAATTTACCAATAAATTTGTTACATAACTAATTGTGATGATGATGATGATGATAATAAATATCAGTTGAGTAACATATTCCAAAAAATTTACTTACATTTCTTTTTTTTTAATGTTTATTTATTTTTGAGACAGAGAGACAGAGTGAGTGGGGGAAGGGCAGAGAGAGAGGGAGAAGGAATCCCAAGCAGGCTCCACAGTGTCAGTGTAGAGTCCAATGCAGGGCCTGAACTCGTGAGTGGTGAGATCATGACCTGAGCCAAAACCAAGAGTCAGACACTTAATTCACTGAGCCAGGTGCCCCTTCCGTTTCTTCACTAATTCCTATCCTACTATCATCAGGTACATATAATATTATCCTCATTTTACAGTTGAAGAATCTAAAGTTCAGTAAGAGTTAAGAATTTGCATATATTGGAGCTGGAATTTGAACCCATGTTTGCCTCATGTAGGTTCTTTTCCTCTACACTCCACTATCCTCCTTCATGCATGTTTGTCACTAACCTCTTGGGTTGTCAGCAGCAGGTAAAAGAAATTAAAACCCTGATATCGCTATTTCATTTCTAATATATAAATATATTTCATAAAAGAATTGCTTTCCCTGCCCTTGGCTGTAACTATGTTTTTCTTCTCTGTTCCAATCATTTGCACAAATAGGAAACTGCACATTAGGCAAAGGTCACATGGAAGGGAGTGGATAATGTAATTTGCAAAAGGAGAAATGTTATGAATAGCTGATATTTTTAGAGTGTTATCTTTCTTGTTCACAATGGGTTTTGGTTTCCATCCTGATGAAATGTAAATTTTACAAGGTCTGAGGAAAACTATGAGGTGGGAAACTGATGCCAAGAATGAGAAAATATAAGGCTCACTCGTAAAGCCTATCTGAGAGGTGCGGGCAGATAGCAGCTGCGGTCTTTCAGAGTCCTGGCTGAAAAGCTCAGCTCACTGTTTTGCCTTGTTTGAGGGCTCCTCCAAGACATGACTCCCATTGGGATTTCAGACATGTAGGTGGGCTGCAGGATTTATAGGGGAGGCATGGCCATCAGGATACTTCCTTTAAACTCATGCTCCCATACTTCAAATGGACTCCTAGCACTGCCAGCCATCCTACTATGATTTTCTAGCATATTTGTTTTCCTCCTTCTCACATGACTCATTCATACCTTCTCCTCTCTTCTCAAACGTTCTTAGGCCTCTCTGCCACTCACTCTCAGCATATGACCTTGTCTTACTTACATTTTATAGAGAAAATTTAAGCTATTAGATAGGAACCCTCTCCTCTTCCTTCACCAGATCCCCAGCCCACCATCTTCAATCTCTTTCCTCCCTTTGGAGGAAAGTTTATCTACCTTTCTAAGGTAGGTCTTTCCTACCTCTCTTTTCAAATAATTTGTTCCTTTGGTCATCCCCTTTCTCTCATCCCTACGACTGGAACATTTATATCCAAATTCAAATGTGCTTTCATCCCTTGACCCACTTCTTCAGCTATGTATCTTCACAACACACTCTTTTACTCTCCTTTCCAATCAAATTATTGTGTCTAGATCTTCCTCTTTCTCATCATTTCAATCTGTCTTTGGCTCCTATCATTTCACTAAAGCTCCTCTTGACCTCCATATTATCAAATCTAATAATCACTTTTTCTGGACTCATCTGACGTGGACTCTCAGAAGTGAATGTGTGACACACTTAACTCTTCCTCCTTGACATGCTCTCCTCTCTTGGTTCCCAGGACTTCACAACTCTTCTGGTTTCCACTTACCTCTCTGGCTGCTACTCCTCAGTCTCCTCTGTAGGTTCTTTCTCCACCTGAGCTAACAGCAGAGCTGCTCAGAGCTTGGTTCTGGGTCCTCTTCTGATGTTTCCTCATACTGTCTCCCTAGACAATCTTATCCATTCCCCTGGCTTTAAATGTCATCTATATTCTGATGACACCAAACGGTATCTCTAGCCTCTAGAGCTCTTCTCCAACTCACTTTGGTATATCCAACTACCTACTTGACATCTCCACCTGGATACTTCACTGGCATGGAAAATTTATCTTGTCCAAAAGCTAACTCCTGCCTCATTGCCTCTTTTTAGTTCTTCAAATATCTTTGCATCTTTTGTGTCTCAGGGTCTGCACATATCCTGCAACCTCCCCCGAGGATGATCTCCCCTCTGCTACAGATATGGCTGACTTTTCACCTTTCAGGTCTGTGTTTCAGTTACTCCACCTCAGAGAGGTCTTTTATGAGCATTCAATCTAAGAATATCCTCCCCTTATTGTTTTCTGCACCACAGAGTTTGTTTCTTTCATAAAAGTTATCACAATCTATAATTAACTACATATTTTTTTCCTTCCTCTTTTGGGGCATTCTCTCCCGCTAAGCTCATGTTGAAAAATGCTTTTTTTTTTTTTTTTTAATTATCTGATGTATCCCTAGCACATTGCAAGGTGCCTGTGACTTAGTCAGTACTCAGTAGATATTTAAATGAATGAAGCAAAAGATGGACTACAGGAATGGAATAACTCTGAACATTTTGGTCCACCTCCATCTTCCTAATCTAAGTGCTGTGGAGCTCCCAAAAACCATCTGTCCACTTATAGCATCTCCTGGAGTAAGAATAAAGGTGGATTTCAGAGCATGAAGAAAAAGGGACCTGGGATAATACCCAAACATTATTTGATGTTTGGATGTCTAGGGAGGGTTCTTGGGCGAGGACCTTTATAAAATCTTGTCTCAAAGTAGAAGGATTGAAATGAACTCAATCAGGGCGCCTGGGTGGCGCAGTCGGTTAAAGGTCCGACTTCAGCCAGGTCACGATCTCGCGGTCCGTGAGTTCGAGCCCCGCGTCAGGCTCTGGGCTGATGGCTCAGAGCCTGGAGCCTGTTTCCGATTCTGTGTCTCCCTCTCTCTCTGCCCCTCCCCCGTTCATGCTCTGTCTCTCTCTGTCCCAAAAATAAATAAACGTTGAAAAAAAAAATTTAAAAAAAAAAAAAAAAAAAAAAAAAAAAAAGAAATGAACTCAATCAAGAATGAGTTTCCTCACTTCTGATCAGGAATCAGGCCAAAGACATGGTTTGGTTTTCAGACACCGAGTCTTTCCCTGAAAGGACACCCTGTACTTCCTGTACTTCCCTCTTCTCACTAGTGGAAAGACAAATGCAGACCCAGATTGTGAAGCCTCTGCTCCCATGCCAACTTTGAGCTGCGTGGAGATTAGCCAGGAGACCACGGCCAGGATGGAGGAAGAAGCTTACAACAAGGGGTGAGTCAGACTTTGTCCACCCAGAGGTCACCTGGTAGGTCTCAGAAGATACCTTGCCATGTGCTTTTCCTGTTTCTTAGAGGATTTAGGGAAGAAACCAGTGGCCCTAGGACCTCCTTGCTTCAGTAAGGAACTACTGAAAAGAGCAGTACTGTTCCACAGGAAGGACAGGAGGAAGCAGGGTGAGAGGGTGTGGTTAGGCAATAATTAGACTGCCCTCTTTTTAGGCAGAAAGCCACCAGGATGCCACTGCTCAGAATGGTCTGGAACTAAGGCCCCTGGGTGGGTTCCTCTTGGTGGTGCCTGAGGCTTCCTGACACGTGCTCAGAGGAGTCATATTGCTACCAACAATCCCAGGAGCAGCTGTAACTCTACTTCTTAGAACTTCCCCTGTCATCTCTTCTTCCTGTAAACTGGAGTCCCCTCAACTTCCAACTGTCCCCTATTGAGCTTCAATAACACTGTGGCCCATTGTCAGTCACTGAGGGGACGGAGTACTGAGGAGGGCCCAAGTCCAGCCAGGTAGAGAATTATCTCTAACATAATTCTGGCATAGCATCCTTTTCTTCACATCCATTTCTACACATCCATTTCTTCACATTTCTGTGAAGAAAGTCTTCACAGCTTCTGAGAGAGACATAGCTTCCCACTTACATGGAACTTGTGGGCATCTATATGGCAGTCATATACAATGTGGTGGGATTCCCCTAGCCAAACTAAGCTTGCCTTAAACATTCAGCTGTAGGACAATCAAAAAGAATATGTTCAGGGTAATACTGATCCTACAAGAATAACATCAGAAGGATGTCTCTTTGGAAGCCATCTTTTTACCCACAACTATCCTCTATACTAAGCATGTATGGGGGTAAATACCTCCTTTGACTTTGTAAACATTTACTGAGTACCTCCCTAGGCCTAGTATGTGCTTATCACTTCCATGAAACTTCCCAACAAGCTATTGTGATGGGTGTCACCTTCCCTAGGTCAAGCTATATGCCTGGCACTGCCTCAAAACATTCCCATAGCCATGAAATGGGGGCCACCCTGTCCATTTTATAGGTGAAAAGCTGAAGCATCCAGGTTACACAGAAAGCAAACACACTGTTCTCCCTGCTGAATATTTTGTAGGATAAGAACCCAATCAGGAGACTCTGCACCTACATTTTTCCCTGTCAATTTTGCCACATATTCACATATAAACAGGAAAGATGAGTGAGGAATGAGGGGAAATTGCACTGACATGAGCCACCTTGGGATTCAGTGGAGCTTCCCAGCTTTTTCCTGTTGTGTAGAACTACAGGAAGTGTATAATTATTGGAGGTGTTCAAGTTCCCACCTCTAGGAACTCAGGAAAGGATGCTCTGTGCCTCGCCTTTCTAGACTCCATTGTTCCTTTTCACCCTGCAGATACCAGGAAGGTCTAAAGAAGACCAAAGAGCTTCAAGACCTGAAGGAAGAGGAAGAAGAACAGAAAGGTGAGAGTCTTGAGGAAGCTGAAGAGGCAGAAGAAACTGAGGAAGAGGAAAAGAACCAAAGAAGCAGGTTGGAGCCCTTGCCATTGCTGAAATGGGTCACAATTTATTTAACTGCACAGCATCCTGAGAGGTGCTACTCCAGGGCAACAGTGGGTCTAGGGTCCAAGTGAGCAGCCAATAGAAACCAAGAAGGGCACTTATTTTGGGAAAGAAGCAGAGGAAGGAGCCAAAATAGTTAAAAAAGAAATGTTTTCAAGAGCTGAGGGGTCAGAGGTGGTCAAGAGTGAGGCCAACAGCAATCAAGAACTTAGGACTAAGAAACTGACTGGAGTCCCCCCTAGCCCAACCACAGTTAGCTCATTTCCCAGATATTCCCATGAAAGAGCCAAGGTTAAGGGAGCTGTCATGAAGCCTTAGAGGTGGTTTCTTACAGGAACAGGAGCAGAGAGAACACATAGGGGTAGGAGACCCACTCAACTCATTGGCAAAGGTGAGTCTCCAACAGGTTCCACTTGGATTGGAAATACTTGGGCTTTCTTTTTTGATATACTTTATACTTCGAGTGTCTGTTTCCCTAAATCGGGGGAAAACATTAAACATGTAAACAAATATTGAATAGATCCTGCATCTTGTCCTAATTGTGCCCTCATAAGGGTCCTGGATTTTAACCATAGCCCCAATTTCATACATTCTGCCTCACTGTTTCTATTAGTCTTCAGTTTTGATTTTTAGAAATGTGGTTATAGAAAACCTGGAACACTTCATTAAAATCTTTGTTTTTAGACACCCCCCTCCCGGGCTATCTTGGAGTCCAGGGTGGCTCCTGCCAAAATGATAATTATCTATTCAGCTGCTAAAATTCAAACAGGGTATGTGTCTGTGCCTCATTGCTTGACCAGTTAGTTTGAAATCACATGTGTGCAGTGAGTAAGTTAATAGAATAAAGATTAGAAGTGAGACAGATATGCTTCAAAGCACATAGGAACAGTCAATAGAGCCCATTTGGTGGAAGATTCAGCCAGAGTGAGAGGTCTCAGCCTGCATGGGTCAAGCCTAGTGTTCAAGGGAAGAGCAGTCTAGGAGAGCTGGAGAAAATCCTTCCCTGTTGAAAGCAAACCTATGCTAGGATGCACCATCTCCCCTAATGAAAGAACCCCTAAGTTTTGACAGTGAAAGCACAGTCCCTACTCCAAGCAACTGGATTCTAGTCTCCTTACATCTCTCCCTCTTGAGGGTCCCCTGCTCTTATTTATTTTATTTTATTTTTTTTAATTTACATCCAAATTAGTTAGCATATAGTGCAACAATGATTTCAGGAGTAGATTCCTTAAGGAATCTACCTCTGCTCTTATTTTTTAGAGATCACTACATTTTTTTAGAGGTCACTTTAATGTAGTCAAGCCCAGGCCTGGACAACAGCTCTTTCTTTGGCTTCTTTGAATACAGCTAAGACAGGCTAGAACTTCTAACACTTCCACATACCAAGAAAGAACAAAAGAAAATTAAATAGGGTACATGGGATATAAACAGTTTGGTTTACAAAGCACAGGACTGGAATCCTTATCTAGCTAATTTGATCTCAGCCAATGAGTAGCTCTGTCCCATTTTGTGAAACCGCAGGGGAAGTAAGTCTGGGCCTGAGTCCCTCTCTGTCTGTCTCCTGGTCAGCAGCACATGGCAATGGCTGTCTTTCACATCCATCATCCAAAAGTGTCCTCTTGGTCCTGCCAATCCTGAGAGGACTTGTTCTCTCTCCTAACCTTTTCTCCCTCCTCGATTTACTTTTTGATCTTGAGAACATGCTTGTATCTTAAATGATGGATACCAGACATCAGCACAGCCTTCAAAAGTGTCCTTGTCCTTCATTACAGGGGTGTAGCTTCCCCTTTTCAGGCCCAGGGTGTGGCATCATCTTCTCTGTAACAACTAACACTGCTAGCATATGAACTGCCTGCTCATAGTTATATAGAGCTCCTTCCTCACCTGTCACCAAAGGAGACTGGCTCTGAGAGCCTGTTGTCTTCAATGCCAGGCAATCATTCCTGAGTCCTGTAGACATATGGTTGCCTGCAGGCACCTGCACTCAAACATGATTTTCCCCATGAAATTTTGGCATTGCATTAATAAGGAAGGTCTAAAGTTATTAAAAGTTCCACATCCTAATTAATGTATTTTAAAAATACTGGGCTAACCCCAGCAGTGAACCTTAGTTAAGAGATTCCACATCAAACACTATAGTCTTTTTTGTCTGAATTTCTCCTCTGTTATAATAATATACAGTTGACCCTTGAACAATGTGAGGGTTAGGGGTATCCATCCTCCACACAGTAAAAAACCCAAGTATAACATTTGATTCCTCAAAAACTTACTACTAATTGCATACTGTTGACCTAAAGCCTTACCAATAATAGTTAACACATATTTTGTATGTTATACATATTGTACAGTGTATTTTTACAATAAAGTAAGCTTGAGAAAGGAAAATGTTATTAAGAAAATTGTAAGGAAGAGAAAATACATTTACAGTACTATATTGTATTTATTTTTTTAAATGTTGCATAAAAGTGGGCCCATACAGTTCCAACTTGTTCAAGCATTAATTGTATAATAATGTAATCTGTTATAAATAGTATTTTCTGGAGTATCAGCTTAAATGAACATAGGGTGAATCAACCCAATATCTTAACTATATTAAAATAGAGAATACAGTCTTCTGACATTTATATGATACATTAAACAAGAGAAACAAAGTGCAATAGAAAATGTTAGCCTTTTCTGCCTATTCAAATCTGCTCCATGGGGTTAAGATAATGTTAGGCAGATTCCTTTACTTTTCCAGTAACTCTCAGAAAGCAGAACTCCTCTTGTCAAGTTTAAGTTCCAAGAATAATCTCATTTCATTAATTAAAATAGCCAGTTCCCTAAAATAGTCAAAAGCCTGAACTTAAAAATTGAACCTCTTTTCTCCCCCAACTCGTCTGCTTCAAGAAGAAAGCCTATATAGCAGGCAGGGGAGCATGGTTTCTTTGTCTCTACCCTCCCCCCTGCCTAAGCTTCACCAAATGCAGCACCTGACTCTCTAGAATCAATTCTGGGAAAGGGAATTGAGATGAAGGGGTAGGAAAGGTATTACTTGAATTGTACTGTGAGCAGGCTCCAGGGCTTGGCAGGGGTTTAAAGCTGACTTGCTGACTTTGATTGGTGTATTGCTTTATGGTACCTCTAGAGAAAACTACTCCTCCCACCTCCCAGCATACACACACGTTCACACCGTGGCTGAGATCCGCTCAGCTGCTGGTCCCTCTATGAGGTTGAATGCATGTCTTTTAGCTAGCTGGCCACTTAAAATCCCTCTCAGTCCTCAGGTAGCTGGAAGTATATCTTTACTGTTCAGCTTTTAGGTAGAAATCTTGAGCAGGATCTGTGATGCCCCAAGCCATCTCTCCTTATCCTAACTATATCCAGTCAAGGTGAAACATGTACCTTTGGCCCACTATGGGTAGGATAGTTTTCTCTATCATGGCCCACTATTCTGATGCCATCAAGCACATCAGAAAGATTTTTGCTCTTCGAATTGCTCATGTGTGAGGCACACACCAGTCCACTGTGTCCCCCAGACCTCAACATGTTGAATTCTCCAGCAGTGTCTCTGAAGCCCCTCTCCCTAGGCCCAGGTGAAGGGGAAGCCACTTCACCCCTCCCTATAGGAGATTTAAAAAAATTGATTTCCACAGGGATTCCATTTCTAATCTAATTCTATTTCTTATTCTTTTATAAGCTAGAAATTGGGGACCAGCTAAGGGTCACAAAGCTAGATCTTGGCATCCTCCTCTGAAGTCCCACTTAAGAGTAGGATCACAGTGGGATTCTCCCAACCCTAGATGCTTGTTTTGGAGCATGGAATATGGCCCAAAAGGACTGCATTTTAGCATCCAATTATATCTAAGTAGAAACTAAGGACTCTAAATAGGGATGAAAGAAAAAAATCTTCCATTTCCAAGCTATCCCTTCCCAACAGTTGTGAAAATGGCCAGTGAATTTCACCTCAGCTAATGTGCGCTGTTTGGCTTTGCTTAACTCTTCCTGAAACAATCATTGAATAGTTTACATGTGGAAGAGAAACCAATCAGTACCTTAGCATCCAAGACAGGCACTCAGAGCCTCTGGTCTCTTTCCAAGGAAGGTATTTGTTGAGTTTTTTCCATGGGTCATTAAGCATATTTTTTCTACAAACTATATTAGAGCTGTCTACTTCTCAGCAAATGGCCCACATATTTTGGTATCTACATGAGCCTTCAGAAAGCCTTCTTGTCACTTTTCTCACCTCCTCCATTTGGTGATCCTCAGTAACCTTATTTTTTACATTATTATAAAACATAGATCAGGGATTAGAAACAGGAAAAAATTCTAGCCTAATGAATGTGTGCAGGATTTCTCTACAGAGCTTGAAGAATAGATTCTGTAAAGCAGGCCATATGACCAAGTGTCTTTTCACTAGGCTACAAAGAGAGAGGGGAAGTTGAAAGGCAATTGGGAAGAGAGCAAGAAGGAAAGGGGGAATGACGCAGCCAGAAAATGGAGAGGGAGACAGATGAAAGGGAAGGAGGAAAGAGAAAAAAGAGAGTGGAGAAGGGAGAAGAAGAAGAAGAAGAAGAAGAAGAAGAAGAAGAAGAAGAAGAAGAAGAAGAAGAAGAAGAAGGAGAAGAAGGGATTAATGAAGAGAATGAAGACTAATGGTGTTGAGAAAACATCTGGAATAAGCCACTGAGAGGTTGCTAGAGGCTACTAGTCTTCTGGTTGCCCCTGGGATGGTTATAAGTGAACTCTTGAGGTTGATTTGGTTCCTTGTCATTTATCATTGAACATGGAGGGTCTTCTAAGGGTTTAGCACAGTTCTTCTATTCTGAACACAGTCAGATGTGGAACAAAATATGCACTGGAGCACGGAGACAGGGGACAGAGTAGAACTTGAAACTGATCACTAAATAACACTAAGTGCAGAAAAGATGCTGGTCCCATCTGCATGCAAGGGAGTGTGGGTCAGCTAACCTTGTATCCTGGGGTTGGGAGAGTTCAGACATTAATGATCATCTCATGAATAGATCAGGGTATGTATGTATGTATGTATGATCAAACAAGTAAATGGAGTATTCTAGCCCAGGAGCTCCCAACATCAAGGCTATGGACTGGTGGCATCAGAATCACCTGGGGAAAATTTTTAATGTGCCCAATATACTAAGCCCTTCTCCTATTTTTTCATTTGACAGCAAACTTGAAGAATTGGTTCATTTCTTACAAGTCATGTATCCCAAACTGTGTCAGCACTGGCAAGTCATCTGGATGATGGCCACAGTGATGCTGGTCTTGACTGTTGTGTTGGGACTCTACAGTTCCTATAATTCTTGTGTGGAGCAGGCTGATGGGCCCCATGGGAGATCAACTTGCTCGGCAGCCCAGAGGGACTCGTGGTGGAGCTCAGGACTCCAGCATGAGCAACCTGCAGAGCAGTAGGAAACCTGACACCCAGTCAGTGCCCTGCTCCAGCACATAGCTGACTGCTCTTTTCCCAAGCATATGTTTCAGGCCAGTTGTGGGCATGCTGGCACCAGCCTATCAGGAAATAAGCAGGGTTCTTTCATACTCAGCAACCGTGTGGGAGCTATGCATACACAGTAACTGATGTTTTTGGAGGATCAACAAAACTGCCCTGGGAACACTTCTGGCGGATGAAGTCACCTTCACCAAGGAACTCTAACAGAAGGGAAAGTCATCTGCCCCTAGCTCAGATGGCAGGGGGAAATAAAACACCTTCACTGCAGAAAACAGTAAGAAGTTCACTCTCCCTCCCCTTTTTCCTCTCTGTAGTCAGAAATCAAGAAGAATTATGCCCAAAGGCTAACTCTGACTTTGAGGATCAGACCTAGAATTTGGAGTCAACATGAATATCATCCCATTTCCCATCTCATTCTCACTGACTCTTCTTCAGCCTCCCTGCCTCCCCTTTGGAACCAGAGTTTCTCTTTACAGAAGTAGAGAAGGTTTCTCAGAAAAATATTTAGGCTGAATTTAGATCAGTGCTTGAAATGAAATGGGAAGATGTGAGTTAACATATATGCATCTGTATGCACACACAGCACACACATACACACAGCATGCATGTGCATGAAGCCAACAACCCTCCAAACGTGTGCTCTAGGTGTGTGTTCTGGATAAAACAACCCACAGATTTTTCACTAGGTGTGAGGCAGTCACCAGGCACCTGTTCAATGAGCTCTCCACATTGATTTAAGATGTTTGAAGACACTGAAAACTCATGGCTGCAACAGTGAACTTGGTGGTCGCCATTTCAAGTGCTAATTCTAAGCTGTTGTACAACAGTCTATTCCCTATTTGTCCTCTACCATTGAGAACCCACCTCTCATGTGTGATTTCAGCCCTCGTGTGCCCACAACCACATGTGCAGTTGCACCTTAGTGCTTCAGTTCAAATGGGTTTCCAACCCAAGTACACATTTCAGAGCATTCTAATTGTTCAGCATAAAACTGAGGGAGCACATCCCATTTCCAATTTGACTTCTTGCTCCACCTTTACAGCCACTGCCTTCATTCATCCCTTATCAGTTTTGAGGGGTGTTGGTTTCTTGTGGGTTTTATTGTTCTGCTCTTGTTTTTGTTTTGTTGTTGATGTTGTTTGTTTTGTTGCTAACACTCATATAGAACTTACTATGAGCCAAACACTGTTCTATGTATTATATAGGTATTAATTCATTTAATCCTCAAAAAAAAAAAAAAAAAAAAAAAAAAAAGAAAGAAAGAAAGAAGAAAAGAAAAGAAAAAACAATGAGGTGGGTACCACCCTCCCCATTTTCAGATAAGGAAACTGAAGCACAAAAAAACACAACTAACTTGCCAAGGACATCCAGTTAGTAAATTATGGGCCTGGAACTCATATCCAGGCAGACTGGCCCCTGCACAAAATTGCCTTTTCCAATGGTCTCCTAACTGCATGCCTTATGTTTCACTCCCACTTCCCCAAGTAGCCCTCCAACCACTCCAAACTATTTCTGGTTCCCAGACTAAACTGTTTTCTCATAGTTCTGTTCCTCCACTCACTAGTTTTTCTTTTGCCATTCTCCTCTTTTCTGCTGGTCACCCTTCAGGACCAAGTGCAAAAATTATCCCTGACGCACAGGCTTTGATGACTTTCTTCCAACTTCCTACCATACCCCACATAATAGGTTACACCCTCCTCTGCTGACACTTTTTAAACATCTTTATTATTTACTGTTGTGACAGTATATCACAATGACTTATTTAAGTGTCTGTCTCCCTATTTTTCCTCAAAGACAAGAACCATATCTTACCCATTCTCTGGGGTAGGTACCTAGCATGGTGGCTGCTGATGTATGGGAGGGTGTTATTAAGTGTTGATCAAAAGAACAAGTGAGCATTCAAGGTTGTGGAGAGTAGCCTGGGGAAGCTGACATTTTGCATACCTCCCAGTTCTAGCACCATCATTGCCACTATCTCAGTGAGAAAAATAACATCTTTATTAGCTTCAATTTATTCTAATATTTTTCAGTCCACTCTGTGAGAGAGCAGAAATGAGACCTAACTAGCAACACAATTTCCAAGCTCAAGGACTGGGCTTGATGCAACCACTCCTTTCAGAAAGACCCACCTAGATCAGCCCTACTATAAAACAGCATGCTGTTGTTGCGGAGGGGGAAGGGGTGGGGAGCAGGGGCGGGGAGGGTAATGGCATCCTTTACAGTGACTAAAAAACCACTGTGGGAGAAGCCCAAGCCAGGGTTGACCAAGAAAGTGCCATTAAGGTAAAGAGGTGTAGATCAAAGCAGAGGGACTTTGGGGATTTGGATGGATGGTTTTCCCTGCCTATTCCAGGGGGACTGGACACACTGAAAAATCTTTTAGGCCCTCAGAGCCACAGACACGATGCAAATGGAGCTCCAGAGACAGTAGCTGTGGGGCAGGACTCTATACTGGCAATGTCCAGTCTTAGCCTCCCTTATAGAAGGACCAGGCTGAACTGGCCCATTGTCCACTTGGCCACAGGGTTCCAACCTTTGTTACCAATTAAAACAAAGGTCAGGAGAACAGCTACAGTGAGCTCCTGAACCTCCAGATGCTCCACAGAAAAACCTTCAAGAGTACTTCCAGACATAGGCCCTCACCCAAAGTGCTCTATGAGTAAGAGAGGTTGAAGAAAAGAACTGTAAGAGTAACCACATTTACAAGGGCATTCCTGAAAAAGTACTCACTGGCATTTCTTTTTTGAAAAGCAAAGATCGATCTGAAGCAGTTGGGATGTTTCCAAAGCAACAATGAAATGGAGAGAAATGGCCCCTGTATTTCCAATGGTGATATTGATCTAAAATAAAAATTCCCCTCAAAATGTCTCTGAAGTCTGACATTTCTGCTTAGCCCTAGGACTCTGGGTGCCTACCTTGAGTTTCAGAGTGATGTGTTGTTTGTGTCATTTTTGTTATCACTTCTTAAAAGGGCCTTCACTTTCTGGCTACCACAAAATCCTGTGTACAGCCTGGAAGAGTAAATGGAGAGGGAGATGCTGGATTTATGTATAACTGACTGTCAGTTCCTAATGTTAAACCTCACACAGGTGTGCTAGCATTAAACTACAGAGTGTCACATACCTGAGTTTGAAAATAAAAGCACCTTTCCAAACCTTTTGCAGTAGCCAAATGCCTCCTCATTTTCTGGAGCTAAGCCACAGTCTTACCCCAACCCTGAGTCAGATCCTCTTGGATATTAGTGCCTCCCAGAACCAAGCCAAAAGTCCCCAGCCCTTGGGTCACTATACTATAGGTTACCTCTTAGGGGCTGAATTGGTTCTTTTCTCTCTCCACTTCCTCATTCCTGATACTAGTTTCCTACACCTTCCTGGTTCATGATTTCTTTTTCGGGTATACAATACAATGATTCAACAATTCCATAGATTTCTCAGTGCTCATTGAAATAGTGTACTCTTAATCCCCTTTATTTCACCCATCCCCCTTCCACCTCCCCTTTGGCCACAACTAGTTTGTCCTCTGTACTTAAGAATCTGTTTTGTGTGTATGTCTCTTTTAATTTTTTTAAATTAATACATTTTGCTGTGCTAGAGACTGCTAAATTTTCACCAACATGATTTCCACAGCTAGACTACATTTTTCAGTTTTTCTTGCAGCCAGATGTAAGGGAATATAGACCCTCCAGATATAATTTCCTAAAAACAGACTCTCCTACCCAATATTTCACATTGCCTTTATTCCCCCTCTGCCTACTAAATTCAGAGGATTTAGTTGGGGACCTGAGGTCTAAGAAGATGTCAGGACCACTAGATGGAAGCTGGATCTTTGAATGGCCACTCACAGAATTCAACTGTGACATAAGCAAAAAATCAAATAGGGTATTAAGCCACTGAAATTCAGGAATATTTGTTCTAGTAGTTAGCCTACTCTGACTAATGTATAGATTTGAGCCAGAAATGGGGTGCTTCAATGGCAAATTTGCAAAATATGAGGCATTGGTTTAGCAGTCAAGTAGCAAAAAAACAAGAAAACTAATATCAGGAGCTAGAATTATGGTGACGCATGTAGTGAATAAAACAAAAATACTTGGCAAGGGGTTACCAATGATAACTTGAAAGGCAGTCCATGGGCAGCCTATAGCCCTAGGAGAAATGGTCAGAATAAGCCCAAGTATTGAAGTATGTGATCCTTTATTGGCTGCCTTTGGCAAGGTATTGTAAAAAAAAAAAAATGCACTCAGGAAAAAAATGGCTATTTGGAAGTGGAAAAGAAAAAAGAATACATATTTTTAGATTGAAGGGTTAGAAAGCCTGTTTCTAAACTCCAAACAGTAAGGATAAAAATAGCTTTCAGTGGGAAAGAACCAATAAAATTTTTCAGTTGAACTCAAATCAACTCAGCCTATGGCAAAGGCCAGATTAAAGATGTGTCCCTTCCACCTGTAATTTCAAATGAACTCAGTGTAGGAACCATTAAATTAAAGAAAGAGTGGGATGGAGCTGAGAAAATAAGGAAATACATCTTGAGAATTATGACTGAGAAAGGATTTGGGGTATGATTATTAGCACATGGAATCAAATGAAAACAAAAGATCAGAAATCTAGGTTTGTGAGGGAATTGTACTTTCAAAGAAACACAAGCCAAGATGGAAAAGTTCAATTGTTTAAATTAGAAAACAACTTTTGCCATCTTCAGCTTACAACAACAGAAGGTAGACTACTACCTCCTACCCCCGCCACAGGAGGGCATACTGCTTGATCTAGCTCAAATATGGCCAAGGATGATTATATACAATGAAGGGCTATAGAGGTCAGTGGACATGGGACATAGGAGTTTCTCCCAGAAAGCAGAATCAAGATCTAATCAAAGGTAAGTAATTGTAGAAAGAATTTGTAGAATTTCCCCCTCTCCAAAATGTCCCATCCCAATCCCTGAAACCTTTGCATATGAAATATCACTCCTGTAATGTAATATGGTAAAGTTGACCTTAAAATAGGGAAATCACCTCAGGGGGCCCAATGTAATCACATCAGCCCTTAAAAGCAGAGAGCTTTCTTTGGCTAATGGTAGACATGAAGGTCAGAGAGATTAAAGGTATGGGAAAAACCCAAAGAGTCATTGCTGCTTTGAAAATGGAATAAGTCAGATGAGAAGAAAAGCAGGCAGCTTCTTGAGCAAAGAATGGACCCCAGTTGACAGCAAGCAAGCAAATAGGGACCTCATTTCTACATCATCAAGGAAATGAATTCTGCCACCAACCTGAATGAGCATGAAAGTGGATTCTTCTCCAAGACCTCCAGGTAAGAGCACACCACAACCTACACCTTGATTTTAATCTTGTGAGACCCAGTGCAGAGAACCCAATTGAGCCCACCCAAACTTCTGACCTGTGGAACTCTAAGATAGTATAAAAGTGTTGTTTTAAGTTGCTAAGTGTACAGTAATTTCTTACATGACAATAGAAAATTAATATAGTGGCTTTTATACTGACTCTTCATTAGTATTCCAGGGTGAAGTCCTGTATCTCCCATTCTTTTCCTTTACACATGAGATTTTTTTTTTGTATTGTCTATTTACTAGTTACTACATTCCACTAACAAAAGTTCTGGAAAATTGAATTGAAATCCTTGGGGTGCTTAAGGCCAGAAAAAAAAAGAGCTTCACATTATTCTGGTTTTTATATTACAGAAGATATTGAAATCTTTGGAAAGACCTTAAAATTTAAAGATAGAATAGTTTAATGCAGTTAAGTGTCCAACTCTGGATCTCAGCTCAGGTCTTGACCTCAGGGTTGTGAGTTCAAGTTCCATGTTGGGCTCCACACTGGGTGTAAAACTTACTAAAAAAAAATGTTTCAGGTAAGCTTTTTTCTGTATTATTTTTTGCAAATTTTACTTCCAATGTAGTTAACATACTTTATATTAGTTTCAGGTGTACAATACAGTGGTTATTCAGTTCCATATTATTACTCAGGTGTTCATCAAGATAGTCCCCTTCACCTGTATCACCCATCCCCCCCACTTATGTCCCCTCTGGTAACCATCTGTTTAATCTCTATAGTTAAAAGTCTTTTTTTTTTTGGTTTGTCTCTTTTGTGGGATCTACACCCTTGGTACAGTCTCCTTTTTACTCTCTGCAGATCCTGGGTTGATCTTTCTTTAATATATATCATTTTTTTTCTTTTCCTACAGTCTGGT